CAAAACCCCAAAACCCCAAAACCCCAAAACCCCAAAACCCCAAAACCCCATGAGCCTATTAACTTGATATTTAAATGTATTAGTACTCAAAAAATAATAATCATCTAAGTGAGGGAGACTTACTATTGATTTAATTGCGGCTTTTTCCTACTTAATTACGGTTGTTACTACTACTAATAGTTCCAGCTGATTAAATTTTGCTGGCACTTTGGATATGACTGTAGCTACCCCCATAATTATCCTAGCTACGATTTTCGATCAAATAATTAATATTAGTATTGGTCACAGTGCCCGATAATTGGTCTTTAACGCTATTGTTCACAATAATAAGATCATTGTTAATTTATCTAGGGAAATTAAGATCAGATTAGGAATGATTTTACTGTTGATAGCTCATTAGTTTCTAAAGTTGTCCAGATTTTTAATTTCTAGAGGAATTGATTGGATTTATCATTAGTTTAGCAACTTCTGAAACTTGGGGATTAATGGATCTTTTACTTTCCTCCTTTGATTTCGTATTAAGTTTGGATTTTGTTTGGTTATTTGGGGATCTTGAAGTTTTAGGTTTTCCGTTAGGATTTTAGTTATATGACAAGAAGGATGTAATTTAACCATACTAAGAAGTAGATTAAGTTGCCTCTCCTTATATGCCCTAGGCTGTTGATTTGCTTATTTTATCTTTCATTGATAAATTTTGATTGCCAAAAATATCCAATCTTGGATTTCTTTATGTAACAGTACTTGTTGGACTCTTTGATTGCTTAAACTAGGGAGACATATTAGACTGCACAGTTATAATGGATGGGGATTTTGAATTATTTGTAGGTTTTTTCTTTTAAAATACTTTCTTGACTTCTTATTTCCAATTATCTAGTGTGGTATTTTTGTCAGTGTTCTTAAACATATCAGGACTTAGACCATTAATACCTCCCATAGAATTTGCTGCATTACCCATGTTTGCCTTTTTCTTTTTATCTTTGTTGCTTGACTCAGAAGTTTGAGACATCGGTTATCCTTTAAAATGAGCAAGTGAAGGGGTTTTCTTCTTACCAAATGCAGGAGTTTCTATTCCTCCTAAAGATCCAATAGTAGCCAAAGATTAATCAATATTTCCCTCACAGTCTTCGCCTCAGACTCTATAAGATTTAATTGCTTCAAGTCCATCTGAGTCTACATTGTCTAATTCAAAGAAGTTTATATTTGAGTTCTAAGGGTCCTCCAGCATATCTTTAGAATCACTCAGCATGTTTGCCATATCATCTGGCATGTCTATTTGCAAATGCTTACTTCTTAAATTTTTCTATTCTGAATTCTGAATGTTTTTATTAGTTGCTGCACCTTAACTTTTATTGTTGTTCATGACTTAATTAGTTAGTAATATACTTGGAATTTACATCTTCTCTATAGCTTGTTTTAGTACTAGTGTTTCATCAATAACTTAGGGAGAATTAAGCTCATTTTATTTGATAGTATCATCGTCACTGTCATCAACTGGGAACTACTTCTTTATCATATTTAAGAATTAAGTTTCCATTCTCTCTTAGAATTCCTTCTTATCAAATTTATCCTCGGAATGGATTCTTTTTTTCTTTTTCTACTCCTCCATGATTGATTTATTTGATGGTCTTTGATTTTAATTTTTAGTCTAATTTTAGATAAAATTATTTGCAGTTACGTCATTTGATTGTCTGACAGAATTCAAATCTATTGATGATGGAGTCATTATACTATCTTGCATTAGGGATTACTCTAGCTGATGCATATACTTTTCCTCTATCATTTTGAGGTACTCTTCATTATCGAATTTGGGATCACTTCCTTTTCTTCTCAATAAGATATTTTTATTATCAGACTCCTCATTTCGAATATTCTTTTAGTTCTAGACTTGCAGATTACTTGATTTCTGTATTTTAACCCTTATATACTCAATAATTTAAACTTAATCGAATTTGATTGATTGTAAGAATTTCTAAGTTGATCCAAAGTGAGTTAAAATGTCTTATTTTAATAAAGGATCATTTTCTATTTCCGCCTTGACTTTTAATTTTTAAAAACTTTACTCATTTTCTTGCTTATGATAGATATCGTTTTCATGAAGCAAATTTTAAAGTGTTTTATTGAAAGTCTAAAGTGTATCATTTTATTACTAAACAAGAAGTTGTAATTGGCCAAGTAGGGTGGTATCAACTTTCTAATTTAATGCTAAAGTAGTTTGAAGTTGCTAAATAAACTATTACTATTTAATGTTAGAATTTATGATGTTTTGCAGTTAAGATTCTCTGTCTTTACCAGTCCTTAGTGAGGATCTATTGGAATTTGATGGTGGAGAAGTAGATTTTTTGCTTGAGTCTACTGCATCAAATTAAGTAATTTATGAGTCTTCTGGTCTCTTATAATCCTCATATTCTTGTCTATGCTTAGAATCCCTTTGATGCTGTTGATTAGATTTCTCATCATTAGGACTTTCAAGATTGATAAGCTCAGCTCTTTATTAGTTAATTTTGGATACATCGCCTTTTAAACCAAACAAACTTTAGTTTCCAAACATTCTCTGCATTTCCTTTAAATAATCCTTCGATGTAAGCATATCATCATTGCTAAGACCTTTAACTATATCTTCAAAATCGATGCCAGAAATGAAGCCATTTAGACCCTCTACTACTTAGTTAGGAGATTCCTCTTGCATATAATTTTATCTCTTACTTGCATTCTTTTTATGGGAAAGTTACTACTGCTTAAGGTTTTATTATTCTTATGTCTGATTTTAATTGCTATTCAAGTACATATTTAAGTTTTGGCTATTTGAGCCCTCCATTTTCAAATTAATAAAAAATTTGCTTGTAAATTATAGATTTTCTGATAACATGATGTTCTGAATTCTGTTTATAATCGAGCATGGGGTTTTGGGGTTTTGGGGTTTTGGGGTTTTGGGG